CCATCTGCCCATCAAACACAATGTTAGCTTCGATTGAGACAGTTGGTCTGATATCCTGCAAGTCCTACTAACGAAGGTACCTGGGACTTCTACCAGCACCTTCGGTGCCTTCGATGCCTGGCCCACAAAGCCCCGGTGGAGAACTAGTAACTATACATACTGATAGGTGTATTCTGGTGAGTTATTTTCTGCCAACATGCCTGCTTACGAAGCAAAACTTTGAAGTATCATTCATTCACAAACCTATCAGATGTGTTAATAGAGCGAGTCGGATGAGGAGCTCGAGAGGCAGCTCATCCGGGGTTATAAATCGTAGTTTGAAGTTGCGCCTACTACTGATGCCATGTTGGGTTTTGTATTCTATAGATCCTATTTCAGGCTATTCTCTCATAATACCTATACTGATCTCGCTTCACGCTCCCAGAGCCCTGAACATACTCACCTACGTCTATGTAGATTTACAGTTTGGATGTTCAGCGGCCCTTGGTCCGATCGACTAAGCGCCTGACCGCCCAGATCACGCGTTAACTTTTGACAAACCGTCATGACCGGTCAACCGGGTCATGACCGGTCATGACTTCGGTCATAACCGGGGTCATAACAACACTGAGCGGCACCATCCAGGACACAGAAGTCATGGAACTCTGCAGAGGATGGTCGGCGTGATGTGGTCGCAGACACAGGTCGCGGCTGCGTATCCAGGATGACAGGCACTATTTCAAGTGAGCTTCGACGATGTACTATCAGTGCACTGCGACAAGAAGTTCCTAGGGGTTTGTCATGATCAGCCCAGCTCTTTACCGGAGAGCATCAGAGATTACCGCAGTATTATCCAGGACATTCCAAAGCCAAGGATCAAGGCTGTTTCCGCAGAGGCTGGAAGAATGCAAAGGAGCAAGTAGATGTGCGCGCGCCACATGGCACAGGCTCCCCAATCTGGCAACCTGGGCATCCCTGAGAAGGCGCCTTGAACAAGGCGGCCAACACAACCTAGTTAGTCTCGTCCGCTTGCCCAGGAGCTTCATTGTCTCACTGGCGATCCACGGGTGCTCGATAAGATCTCTGTTGTATTCGTCTTCTGCGAATCTCCAACCATTTCCTGTCACCAAGTAGGTGAAATTCTAGCAAATATACTTGACAAGTTCAAGTTATCGGTCGCCATCCGAGCGTTCAAAACTATCCCACTCTCAGATGACATCTCCTCCTCGGACGCTCAACATCATACTGGGTGACTCACCGGTATAGGGAGCTGTCGATCAATCGCAAAGACCGAGATCTCCGAGTCCCGCTTCATATTAGTCCCAACAACACTATGTAGACCGAATCCCTGCTCTACCCTAGCCATAGTGCCTAATCCGCTGAAGCCCCGGTAGGCATTCGTGTGCTTTCTTCCACTGAAAGCACCACTTCCTCGATCCGGGGAGTCGGGGACACACAAAAGTAGGCTCGGGCAACCTCCGACGGGTCCGTAAAAGACAGATCCGAGTTCCCAGGATCGATGTACGTCGGGTGGGGTCTTGTGAGATAGGATGTGCAGCATGTTTGCACCGCTCAGCAGAGCCAAGTGATGGAACAGTGGTCCCCACTTAGAGCCCGTTCGGATGCCCGGTTTAGCGAGAGTAACGAGATGTTGAATTGCTTCGAGGAGGAGCGACAGCCCCGGTGCGTATAAGACGACGATACGCTGCGTAGCGACACTAGATGCTGCAGCCTGGGACATGAGACCGATAATGCGTGAATTAGCTGAATCGCTGGTGGAAAGCCCTTCAATTCAGACCCGTAGAGGATGGCAACTTTCGTTAGGTGTGGTCCGAAGAGCAACCGTATCAAGGTCAAACCCGCCGTCTTCCCGAAGGCCTCTTCAAAATCCACCTTGCAGAAGTTCGGTAGGAGCGGCTTTGAGTGAGGCGCAAGAGGGTGGTCCAGAGGAGACGTAATGCAATAACGAATGCATTCGTCCGTAAGATCGTGATCAGAAACAAAGTTTGACAATGATCGCCCAGAATAAGACATGGTCATTAACCAAGAACATGAAGCAGGTAGCATAAATTAATAATGGGTAGTCACTAGGCATCACGACATCTGTGGGTCTGGTGTGAGGATATCCGCCTAATCAATCTTTTTGGCCGAGAACTAGAAACATAACATCAGCACCAAGAACACTTAGAAAGATAGCAAGAGACGTACCACGGTGACGACCGTGCCATCGCTGAGCTTCTCCTTGTTCGGAACAAACTCGTAGCCGAACCATCTCGGTACGACACGCCAGAGAGCCCAGTAGAGGACACCGACGGCCAGGATCGCGATACCGACAAGGCAGTACCTGATCGAGGATCAATCGCAAACTTCATAGGAACAGGATGGTGCCAAGAACGTACAGATAGTAGGGCAGGGGAGGCGTGTCTCCAACGCCGTTGGCAGGGTGTAGGAAGGGTGCGACAAGCACTGAAGAGGAACAGGGATCAGTTGTCCAGACACGCGATAGATGAGAGTGCACAATGGAAACGTACGGAAGACGGCCGCGGCCAAGAAGAACACAGCAACCGGCCACCAGACTGAAGCATTCAAAGTGAGCAGGCGAACACGGGCTACTGAATGACAACATGACGAACCCTTGAAAGGACGCGGTACGTTGGGCTTGGTGTATCGGAGCCAGAAGAGGCCGATGACGATGAAGAAGTTGATGATCTGTCCTGGATAACCCTCCACGTCAAGGATGAAGGGATAGGCTACCGATGGTGGAGGCCCGATGATGACGATGATCTGCGTAACTCGTGAGATCCGGTGGGAGGGGATCAATGGTAGTCGATAGACTTACAGAGGGGATCAAATGAATGACAAGCCCAGGGAGAGGCGATTTCCCAGTCGGCCAATTCGAAGCCCAGAACTTGTTGCCAAACGGAAGAGGGATACCCTCCTTGGCGAGCTCTTGGTTGACGCGAGCTGCCGCGAACGTCTGAAAGACGCATTGTCATCTCCCGAACATGATAACAGTGGCTTGACTATCGATTACTCACAACAGTGATCACGTTCTAAGATACTCTCAGTCAGCTTACAATCGTATCATCAAGCTAAGAAGACTCACCCTAAATATGCGGAGGGACGCATGTCACTATGGTCAGCAAGGACCTGCTCGAGTCATTTAAATGGAGGCCTGCTTACCCAAGAGCACTAAAATAGAGGTCAGCTAGGTCAGGAAACGCATACCCATAGCGATTACTCACCTCAAGGCAACAAATACAGTAAGAGCCTTCTGAGCCTTCGCACCGAACACGTTATGGAAGAACAGACTGGCGACCGTAGTACCGGACTTCGTAATCTCCTCCTTCGTGGCAGCCCTACAGTCACGAGGTATCAGACATCCTGTTGCGCAATCTCAATGTAGCTGCAATATGGTACCCACGCGAAGTAGGCAATGTTGGCGAGAAGGTACAAGATAGCACAAATAGCAAGACCAAGCGGTCCGGCGATCTTGAGCGTCCGAACGGGGTTCTTGACGTTGTTCAAGACGTAGTTTACATTCGACCATCCAGCGTATGCGTTGAGCACCTTGAACATAGCCGTCGCGTACTACAAACCACGTCAGCGCAAATTCAGCGAGCATACAGGAGGGCAAGACGGACATCGTTGCCGCTGTGGGAGCTGCCCGCGAACGCATTCCGGAAATTTGCATGCGGGTCCTTGACTGGGGTGTTTCCAGCCAGGACAGCCCAGCCAGTGACGACGACGAAAACAAGAATGACTATCTTGAAGATGCTAAGGCCCTAAAGCAGGATGAGTATCAGATACGCTCGAGAAATAGGACCGACTTCGCCACTCACGTTCATCACCCACACGCCGAGCCTTGGGGTAAGACCATGGAGTATAGTTACGAAGCCGATTACTGTCTCGAACAGGTCAATCACAGGCGTTGCGTGACGGCTATGAACTTGACTTGCCTCCAAGTGCAATCCCACGAGTAACCCATCGGTCCGCAGTGTGCCCTGCGGCTTTCAGAATGCTGTCCGGCACTTAATCCCATACGCGTCGAGAAATTCATAAATGATAAGACCTACTTCTGGGCGAAGACCTATACGACCACGCGTCAATTGGACCGAGGCCTGGAGGTCAGTGTCAAGGCGGGAACTTACAATGCAACCGGCGGCAGTGAACCCAAGAATGATGGCGTTGGCGGCAAAGATGACAGTGACAAGGTACCTCGGCTTCTTGTACACCGCCTCGAGGTAAACCTTCTCTCCTCCGGAACGCGGGAACATCGTGCCGAACTCGAGCCAGATGAAGAGGCCGCAGAAGGATAGGACAAAGCCAAGGACCCATAACATGAGAGACGCGCCGACGGACCCTACCGAGCCCAGAATAGATGAAGGGGTGGAGAAGATACCCGTGCCAATGATCCGACCGACGCTGCGTAGAAGACAGTAAAATGTTGTACCAGTCATCGCGACGCGAGAGAGCACACTCACATGAGTAGGGTGCAATCGAAGACACCTAGATGGCGACCCATGCCGCCAGCCGCATCTATTCCCCCAAGATGTCTATTTCCGAAAATATCGAGCAACGCACCAGTGTACGCACCTTCTGCAAGCGAGAGCCCACCAGGATTCAATTCCGGATCTCCCGCGGTAGCGGGGTCCGCTGAGAGGTCCTCCGAGTCGCTATCTCCAACAAATTTTTCCCGCTTGACATCTACTTGATCCTCGGGAATCGTAGACGTCGCATCTTCCGCACTGTCACGTCGCCTCAAGGTAGGCAAAAATTTGCGCAAAGAAGACATGGTAGGGAGAACGTGTCTGCCCTAGGAACCGAAGGCGAAGGATGCGAGAGCAGGAAGGAGTGGAAGGGGAAAGGTTCAAGTGATAAATAGACCCAGAAGAAGTCGAATAGGACTGGAGCGATAACATGGCGCCCCATCGGACTATAAGAAGCAGCGAGACTTACGTTGTCGTATGCGGGGCAGCGCCCAAATTGCAGTTTGCGCAATCCGTTGGCATCATTGCGCACGAGACACGCTTATCATCTGCCCTGAAAGAAACATCAGGCCCATCCGACAGATCCCTATAACGCATGTACTCGCCATAGACAGCTTGGGCAAAAGAGCTGGCCAGTCCTCCTGAAGGTATTCACGTTGGGTATGTTGACAATGTTCGAGCCAGCTAGACATAGATTCAGTGATTCCAACGCGAATGTCGGTCATGGAACAACAGAGCTGTGGGAGTGTATGGCGTAGTGTGGCGAAACCATGCAATGTCGACTCGGAAGTGAAATGCAGGAGATCTAGCCGGCAACGCTGATGATCCCGCCTCCCATCACTGATCGACTCCTCCCGTCGGGCTGTACCGATCGAAGATGCCAATCGCCGTCGCGGCATTTGTCAACAAATACTCATCGAAATATATACTGTATCGCATACAACACTGACCCTCTCCATGTCCCACAGCACTCCATCTCGTACACCGCATATGTATAGGTATGTATGAGGGTTTCTTCCATCTGCACAGGGTCGGTACTACTAGTACCTGGGCTTGGGACTGCACGTGATCCCCGGCAAGACTTGATGTCAAACATTTTCAGGCTGGAAGGCACCATCAATACACGACAACCAAGACGGCGAGCACGACTCGATTCGCAGCAGTATTCAAATACCGCATCCCGCTGCGGGCTACTAAACCTCCTCGGCGTCTCTGGTGTTGTCTCGACTCGGAGGGCTCTTGAATTGGCTTAGAATCATCAATTACATGCCCGACGAACTCGCGAACATCGCAAGGCCACCACATTCCCTTTGCACTGTGGTACCGAGGATCCGGAGTGCCACGGAGATGACTATTTGGACGTGGTCCACTCAAAAGGTCAACCCCTTCAGGCTATCGCGGGAGGAGACCCACCACAAGACGCAGGCTCAGAACTCCAGTCAATATGCTGCCTAGTGTTATATCAACTTCGCAAATGTGATCCGTTTGCCCCGCTAAGACCTATCGGACCCGGAAGTATCTGCGCCAGTAAGGTTTTTTCGTGCCTGCCCAAGCGTACACCGAGTCTTGTTCCTGAACACCCTACATTGGTCTAGATCTGTGTCAATGCCTCCTGTGGGTTTCTTGTCCGGCTCACCGTAGCCGGAGGAGGCAATACTGAATCCCCAGATCGTCTCAGCTCCAACATGCGGTTTAGGACGTCGGCTGCGAGACCCATTTCTTCGAGCCGTACGCATCATATGTCCTACTCTTTGACTCGCCTCTAGGTCTTCCAGTTCCCGTATTCCCAAAGCGGGACGCTCGCCGAGGGTCTACAAGAGGGCGAAGCGCTCGTCTTCGCGCGCGTGAGCGTATCCCTCAGCTTGTCAATCGTCCCCAGCGAGGACGGCAACAACTATTACGACGAGGACGATCTGACGATTGAAGGCAACTGCGCATTCGAGAAGCACGGGGATGGGGAGCTTGTAGGTAGGAGCCCGAGAAGACCTGGCCCTCATCGTAGAGCGTTCCGCAAATGTCGGTTCACCAGCGATGCGATGCGCATCGGTCGGCGAATGAATAGGCACCAGGGGAGCTCCCAAGCTGTTAACATATCGTAAAACGGCGTCCTACTACGGATGACCGTGAGCGAACGTGTTGATTGCCGCATCCGCATAGAGGTCCTTGTGTCGTATACAAACCTGATTGGACAATATGTGGATGCGATCAGTAGTTGTACCAAAGGCCAACCTATCCAGAACCTCTCCAATGACCTGTCGGAGGAGTGCATGAGCGGCGAAGGTGGGAGAAGTAGAAAGGGCTGAAGAGTAGCGTGACTGCAGCATATCGAAGTCCGTTGACATACCGTGAATCCGCATTGCCTAGTGGGCTTTGTGGTTCCGCTGGGGAATTGGCTGTCGATGCACCGCAGTGCCTTGGGAAACTGTGCGCATTTTGGTGAACCTAGACAGCTGCAGGCATGTACTGAGACGAAACGCGCGATGGGCGCACCTTGCGTACAAAGCAGGTGGCAGATGCGGTGCCATGTGGTGTCAATTGACCGCGCTAGTTCTCTAGCCCCAGCTTTAACCCCACTGCGTGCCTGGATATCGATGCGACCGGTAATGCCTATACAGCAATGCCCATTCAGTGCATCGCAGGGTGATTGGTATAACATGCATCTTCATTTGTGCGAGGTATGACGTAACTCGTGTGTTCGCAGTGTATTGACAGCAAGCCTGACAGCGACAGTGGATGCGCCGAGTCGAATGATATCTCCAAAACCTGATAACCCTCCCAGAGACTTTCCGAGCGAGCACGATATGGGGTCCATGGAGAGGTCTTCCGTTCGTCTGACCTGCTTCCCGCATGAGACCGTCATCCACCTTGTAGCGTCCACAACATAGAAGGGAGGACAGCATCCTGGCACGGGCAATGATCATCCCGGCACGCCTACCGGCGGACGAACGAACGGACGCTGGGCGCCGTCACGGTGTTCACATTGGCACCGAATCTGCGGAGTGACAGCAGGAAGGTTGTCGGCGGACTTCCAGGAGGCACTGAGAGCGAACCTACCCGAGGTCGAGAATGCCGCACTCAAACCGAGCAGTCGAGCTTCGAGCCTTCACCACGGCGGGACGGAAAGGAGGGCTGGATGCGTGGTCGCAGGCCGCTTGTAAGTGGAGAGTTACGTGAGGGTTCGCTGCACTGGTACTAGAGCGCTTGCGAACGAACACGACGCATTTGCCTTTACGCGCTATTCGCATCGTGCACAGATATTCTTTGCAGACGCCTGAGGATGCTATTCTCAGTGGGAGATGACATGCACGTTTTAGCCACGTGTTGAGACTCATTGTCATCCGAAGCAATCCGTACAAGTAGGCTATGAGAAAGACAAAGACACTAGATTGAGTGGGGCGAGGTTTGTGCGCATTGCGCGAGAGCAAGTGAGTTCGGGGCTATGCGGCACAAGGCAAAATATATCCCCGCTGTGGTGGGGCGCGCCGAGGTGTACACCCAAGCCGTTGAAGATCGACGTCTGGGAGCGGTAGCGGGCAAGCCGCTTCAGGAGTCGACCGACGGTGAGAAGCCCGCCGAGACAGGAAACGACTGCGGTTGAGCCCATCGGAAAGGGAGATCAGACTGCCACGCGTGGAAACAGGTTTCAGAGTCTGTCGGTCTCTTGAGTTACGACTTTATCGGAATGCGCTTGTCGAGTGGCAAGAGACGGAGACTGGTCCCAGGTCCAGGGTTGGGGAGGGGACAAACGACATTCCCAATTCGATCTGGAGGATACTGTAGTAGGCTTCGGTCGTCCACGACACAGACCGGGCGAGGAGTACATGGCTTATTGTTAAAAGCAGTGGGACGGCGGCGGAATCGAAGACTAGGAATTCAGCGGCAAGCGATGGAGGACAAGGAATGCCATACCAAGACGGTGGGAGACGACGGACTTGGGACCGGTGGGCAATACCAACTAATGGTCCTGTCTGCGAAGCACAATGTACCGGTCCTCTATTCCCATACCGAGAGCGGATAGCCTAGACCCTGCTGGGAGCCACGTGGGGCAGTATGGATCTAACCCCGGAGACCACCCTAGGCACCTTGTACAACGCTGCGAATTAAAGTCTATCAGAAACGGCAAATTGCGCAGTACAGCTAGAGCATACGGATGAACGAGGTCTCCTTGCACTGGACCCATCAGCCCATGACTACGTTGTGCCTATTGAGGATCCCGTCGAGCAGGATCAGATGCGCCTGAGCACAAATTCGCCTCACACACTATGGACCTAGGTTGCCGTTGGGAAATAGTTGTATGAGACCAAATGCATCTCATGCTGACTTGTCTTCGATGCCCGGTCGAACCGAGTTCTTGACGAACGGCAACTGATGCGGTATTCATCCTGCCAACACGCTGGATATCCCTGTAGGCTCCGTGACCCACATCCGCCGCTCGTAGGCCCTGGGTGTACTCCGTGAGTAGCGGCCGTACGTATCACGAGGAACCCATGTCGTCGATGTCGCGGCAAGGATGCCCCCAGCCGGCAGACGGCATTCCCAAGAGGACGTGTTAGGGAAGACAGGAATCGCGTCCGCGCGGACGTTCTCAGCGCACCCGGGAGGCCCAAGAGGAGTAAGTACAAAGTGACTTCCAAATCGGTACACAAGGGAAAGCACAGATGCGTCTCCTAACTTATGACGAGCGCAAGGACCCCGAGAGATGCCGTACGCCGTCGAGCTTGGACGAGTACGAGCTACGGTGGATGAAGACGGACAGCAAGGACGAGTTTCGAGTGGTCGTGGACGCAATGACGAGACGTGGGACGTAGCGACTGAGGGATCAGGATGGGAGGGGCGGTGTTGCACAGGCGTCCCCGGAGATGTTGGCGCGGAGGCATGGTCGGATCGGGCGCCAGAGGAGTGATCTGGCGGCGATGGGACCTTGCCCGGGTCTCAGGCCCTCCGTCGAGGCAGGTTCTGACGTCCAGGGATCATTTAAAGCAGACGGAGAACAATAACCCCTCCCCCGCGCCTTCCCTCCTTTTTGTCTGTCTCGTTTTGGGTATCGACAACAAGCCATGCCTCCTACACGGTCAAGTTTCTCTCGCCGCAGAAGGTCTTCTCTTGGTCTCGGTATGTTCGTTTGCCACATGGCCTTATCACCGGAATGCTCACGAACCTCGCTCTCGCTGTCGTTATAACCAGGCTTGACTCAAGTCAAGCCAGGCAACTATGGCATCACCGTGAACCCTGCGATCTCCCCACGGGCACTGAGCTTCGCCCCGAACGTCACCCCCAGTACGTATGTCGAGGTCGACGACGACGTTAACGGCAACGATGGGCCCCCATCGCCGAGCAACGCCCTCTTCCCGCCGACGGAGCCGCCCCAAGCGCCCACTCGTAGACGATTGCCTCCCGGTAAGCGGCTCTCGCAGGGCTACATCCCCCGACCCCCCAACGCCTTCATGCTCTTCCGTGCGAACTTCGTTCGTCAAAAGCACGTCCCTGGGTCGATCGAGACAAACCACGGTTCGCTGTCAAAGATCATCGGTAACTGCTGGCGCGCCTTGCCCTTGGAGGAGAAGAGGTACTGGGAGGTCGAAGCGAAGAAGGCCAAGGCTGCCCACCGCGAACGCTACCCCAACTATCGCTTCCGTCCCGTCCACAACAAGAATAAGAACAAGGACAAGAACGGTGCAGTCGCTGTCGACAAGCGCAAGGAGAAGCTTCCGACGCAGCCTGCGGACGAGGAGCGATGCGAGGTTGTCGCGCAGCTCCTGCTTGACGGGAAGAAGGGCGAGGAGCTCGCGGCGGCGATTAGGCAGATTGACATAGCGCGCCAACTGTCTCGCCCCGAGAGTGTCGACTCGCAGCATCTCGAGCACTACATGCAGCAGCCGCTCCCTACGCACCCCCACCCGGTGTACCTGCAGCGTCGCCCGTCCTCCGTCCCTCCGATCTCCCTCCCCACCCTCCCGTTCCTCGTCGCCCCCCAGCCCCAGGCGGCCTACGGTGCAAGCATGTTCAACCAAGGGTACGCCGCAGGCACTGCCAGTCTCCACGGCTCGCGCGCTGCGTCGCCTGTCGGGAACATCTCCCGCTCGCGAATCGTGTATGGGATGCGGCGGGCGTCCAGTTGCCAGCCGATACCCTCGGAGCGTATGTGGGATGGCTATGATCCCCACCCTTACCACGCCGCATACGGTTACACTGCCATGCCTGAGAGCTGGCAACTCCAGCCCGACGCTTCTCCGCTGCCGGATGTTACCGACACAAGCATCTTCCAGCCGGGGTGGACGAACTCATTCAAGGATGACGCACCGCCCACAGAGCAGTCCCACTTCGATCCGAACATGCAGGCGTTCATCCCACCCGACGCCCAAGTCCCGCTGCACCTCAACATTGGCCCTCTCGACAGCTACGACTTCGCGTCGACGCCGTCCACGGCCACGGACGCGTACTCTGCCGTAACCCCTGGCGGTGGCAACGTGTTCGAGCCCATTGATCCGCACGCCTCGTGGCCAGTCGCCGAGAGCGGTCCCTCCAGTGCCTTCTCCGGCTCACCTGCGCGCTCCGACGCTTCGCTTCCGAGCACCATGCGCATGACACCCGCACCACAGTCGCTTCCAGTCGAGCATCCACAACTTATGTGTGCACCGCAGCCGCAGCATGCACAGGTCCACTTCGATACGTGGGCCGCGGGCGAGCAGGACGTCGACAAGATGCATGCTCACCAGCACGTCGAGATGGTCCATGTGGACCAGCACTCCCATCTCGCGATGCCGCTCGAGTTCGACATGGAGGCGAACTACGCGGACCACTACGACGTGTACACGAACGCCGGAATGGTGGGCATGGGCACGGAGATGAACATGGCCGTGGTCGACTACGGTTACTGCGGCTCCCAGGAGTTCTGAGCTCGTCGCGCATCCGCACGTTCGACGCTCGCTCCTCGTACTGGCGCCGCATTCACGCGTGGGGGTCCATACTCTCGCATTCGCATCTGGCTTCCCATACAAGACTTTCTTGGTTATCGATCTGGATATCCGTAACGTTAAACCGCTCGCGCCCGCTCTCCTTAGGCAGCTAATACCTCTGTAGCCATTATTATGTTCGGGATCGCTCTGTCTGTTTGTCGTGTCGACTGATATCCCTCTGTAGCTATATTTTTCGTGGTCCGCACCCCAACTTTCCGTCTACGTACGCGTACATAGCTTTGTCACTTGCATCCTTCATAGATACCTGACGGCACCCCAGCATCTGCGCCCCATACCCTACCCGGTGTCCCTGCATTAGTAGCACTTGTCCCCCCACTGTATCTATCTATCTAACTCGTTATGTCCCTAATCTGCTGTGTGTTCCCGAAGCACGATCGTGCGATGCGCAGGCAAGCTCGAAGGCGAACTCGATCGATCGTCCGTGAAACGAAGCTTCGTTGACAGCGACGAACGGACGGAGAGCGTTTGAGCGACTTCCAGCGCTGTTGCGCGATCTGCCCATGCGCAGTCGCTCCATATTGTCATATACTATACATTGGCAATAGCTCCTCATCCGCATTGCACATAACATGGATTCCTACGATAGCATGTCCGGGGGAGGCCGCCAAAACTACACGAGTAGATACCGAACCAAGCCCATGTCACCGTTCTGGTAGAGGCACGTTCACGACGATAGGTCCTTGGCGGAGATTGTCCCTCGCGCCTCCGGCCGACGCCGCGTTGACAAGTATCGTACCCTCCCCACCCCGGAATTTTGGTCTGCCGATAATCTTCGCCCCCAGCGCCGCGCCAACGACCAGAGCAGTGTTGATTAACCTGCTCCACCTGCCCGCGTTCGTTTGACAGGCCAGCTCGTACCACTTCTGGGGCCTCGACCACGTTAGATACCGCACCCCTCGCCCCACATGGATGTGCCCACAGACATGCAATCGCGGGCGTGTGAGCCAGACGCTCTTGAGAAGGTGTTGGCATCCGACGAGCTTCCAGTCAAGATGGGTCTTGGGAGGACCGTGTGTGACGAGGATATCCGTGTAAGGTGGGAGGCGACGCTCCCAGTGGTATGCATCATATTGGTATTGGAACACCCCGGAGCCATGTTTCGGGGAGCGGGGGTTTCCATAGACAGACAGCAGCCTCCCCTGCACTTCCAGCGTTATCGAAGAGTCCTCGAGATAGGTTAGGCTGGGATATCGTTGAAGGATGGCGTCGCGCTGCTCGGATGCGAGCGCGGTGTCGTGGTTTCCGGCAATGACGATCTTGTGTGCATGCGGAGCCGCATCGAGCCATGCCAGAGCGGAATCGATCTCCTCTTCCGTCCCCGACATCGTGAGATCCCCGGCGTGGATAAGGATGTCGCCGGGCGGGAGAGGGGGAAGGAGACTATGATGATTATGCGTATCCGAGATACACACGACGCGGGCCCGAGGAGGGCTCGAACACTGCAGATCGTCCGCTTCTGGTGGGGGATTTGGCTGACATGCGGCGAAGGCTCGTCGCGCGACAAAGAGCAAAGGGTCCTCCGCTAGGAGTTCCCACCAGGCTGGCTCCCTTCGATAGAGAAGGTCATCAAGGGCACCGCGCTGCGTATAACTCATCTCGACTCGGGCTGCTGTGGGCATGGTGAGGAGGAGACTGGGGTAAAGATGTGTTTAACTCAACGCCCGATTGCTTCAACGTTCTTATACACGAGGTCAAACGGTCGATGCAACGTGGAGGAACGTAGAGAAGTCGATGTGACTTGCCTTCTGAGGTGACGCGAGCGTGGCGTCACAAACACTCTGAATGCCCAAACAGGGCGTGTAGATCAGCCCCGCTCCTCCGCTTCTCCTACTTCCGACGACATCCCCCGCTGCGGTGAGTTCGAGTGCCAGATCGTAGCACTATACCACTCACACCCTAGTGTCCTGAGCTAGACCGTGCTACCGCCTTCTATTAGGTCCAGAAGTCACATGGCGGTGCCTGCAGAGGCTCAGCCCTCTCGGAAACGAATACCACTGACTACTACACCATCCCTATTCCTCCCAGGAGACTAGTTGGGCTCAGCGGATCGAACGTCTGCCGGTCGAAGAACTCTGCTCAGCCCGACATCACAATTCATTCGATCGCGTCCCTCAGTTCTATGTTGCGACACCTCGTGCGTTCTCCGATTATCCTGCATGATATCCTCACGGCAGGGATTCGGATGTTCTCGATTCGAGAAAAGTCGATGAGATGCGGACGCGAAAGGCAACCGCCCATTGTTTTTCGAAGACTTTTATCCAGAAATCTCACATGTTTACAGATAGTTTACCTCGCGACTCCCCTTTTCAGAGACTTTTCTCCAGCTGAAAACATCCGAATCCCTGCCGTGCCTCGTACTCGAGGCGCGTCTGCGACTCCATCTTGCCTTCTGCGCCCGCTTTGACGGCTTGTCGCTGGCGAGGATCGAGCCCTCTACCGGTATTCGGGCCGCGTCCGGCTACGATCATTTGACATCGAGGTTCCGTTCCCCGCTACGCTTCCACTGCGCTACAACCAAGACCCTTGCCCTATGACCTATCGCTTCTGGTTTCACACCTCAACCAACTGGCCGACCCTGGATACCTACAAGTCTGAGCTGCTTGTGGCGAAACATGGAGATCAGACGCCGTTGCGCGCGCTCTGACATAAGCCCCTTGGCGACCTGGTATAAGATTCCTCAGCACCAAGCGGCTCTCCACTCGCCATCCCCACCATCCTTACATTTGTCCCCTTGACGCCACTTGAACCTCGAACTGCATCATCAATATGCCTTCCGTCAACGATGGTCTCACTCTCGACGCTGTCTCGGACGCCGTCGATGAAGGTATGCCACTCCGCCCTATGACCTCATCGGACTTAATGCTCACTGCATGGATAGTCAACAAGCTGAAAGGGCAGGTCCCCAAGTGGGAGGAGAAGTCCAAGTTCGACGCCGAAAAGGACAAGAACGCCTTCCGCCAATACGAAGCGGCGTGCGACCGCGTCAAGAACTTCTACCGCGAGCAGCACGGTACGTACAGCGCTCCGACGGCACAGCAACGGAAATGAGCCGCAGCTGATTTTTCCCCTTTCCAGAGAAGCAGACATTCGAATTCAACGTTCGCGTGCGGGCTGAGTTCAAGAAGACCGTGCACGCCCGGATGGGTGCGTACCTGTGCCTGCGCCATCGTCTGTCGCGTGTTTTCGTGGAATCTCGCTGATCATTTTCATCTCTATTTCAGGTATCTGGGAGGCGATGGAGAAGCTCAACACCCTCGTGGATGATTCCGACCCCGATGTGAGTTCCCTCTGATAAGCCTTCCGTCGGTTATGTTTTGACCTCCGACTGCTTTCTAGACCAGCCTCTCGCAGATCGAACACCTTCTCCAGACCGCGGAGGCGATGCGTCGTGATGGGCAGCCGGAGTGGATGCAGGTCGCAGGTCTCGTGCATGACCTCGGCAAGCTCCTATACTTCTTCGGCTCAGAGTATGTCTCTTCTCAGTCTATCCGTGGGACGACAGGCTAACTGCTCTATCTGTGTCTGCAGAGGCCAATGGGACGTTGTCGGGGTACATAGTTATCACTTCCTGACAATGTGTCGTTTGCTAACCTCGCTATGTCTAGGACACGTTCGTTGTCGGCTGCAAGTTCTCGGACAAGATAATCTACCCTGGTACTTTCACGGCAAACCCCGACTCCAATGACCCTATCTACTCAACCGAGTATGGTGTCTACTCTCCCAACTGCGGTCTCGAGAACGTCATGCTCTCATGGGGACATGATGAAGTATGCTCACATCCGCATCAACGCGCAAAGTAGTAACTCATCGCACCCTTCTCAACAGTACCTCTACCATGTCCTCAAGCATCAAAGCTCCCTCCCCATGGAAGCGCTCTACATGATCCGTTACCACAGTTTCTACCCATGGCACCGCGAAGGCGCGTACTCGCACCTTACGAACGCCGAGGACCAACGTGCGCTGGAGGCTGTTCGCGCTTTCAACCCCTACGACCTGTACAGCAAGAGCGACGAGCCCGTCAATGTCGAGAAGGTCAAGCCTTACTACCAAGGCTTGATTGCGAAGTACTTCCCCGCCGTGATCGAATGGTGAACACAACGGCGGAATGCAGGTGCATGGGTTTACAATATGCTTATTCTGGACCGCTGTAATTGCCCTTGTTCGCCTTTCGTGAGCAGCTTGGACTGTGATCAATTCCTGAGCCCTGTATTACTAGTCTTATACCCAACGAGCTCGTGTTCTGTCTTCCGTAGTAGCAATATTGGTGGTTTATGTGCGGTAATGAGAATGCTTTCCAAGAGAGTAAATCGCTGACCAACAACGATTAATGAACTCAGGGTGTTCCAAATTTAGTGCGTTATACTTAATCTGAATGGATGAATATATGTACTCGTAGTGGACCACCGTGCAGACTTGCCAAATGCGGCAGTGCACTCGCGCAGGCGCCGGCAGGTACTTTGCGCAAGATGACTCTGCGCAAAAATTCCAATCGATGTGCATCGACTCAGCCCGGAGCTTGTCCGGCGATCTGGTGCTGAAGCTGGCGTGAATACGATAACCCTCACCGTGGCGTCCTTCCTTTTCTCTCGACTACCACTACCCCGTGTACATAACCTCGGCTCTGTATCATATCCTCTCCGACCCTCCCAGCTTCACAACTGCCAGCTCCGTTCTGCTCGGGCTCTCCATCCTAGCCAAAAGGTCTCCAGACTTAGACGATACACAATGGCCTCTACATCTGCCGAATCATCGAACCGACCAAAACTAGGCCCCTCGCCGTTCAAGATCCCCTCCGACCTTCCTGAACTCCCCGAGGTCCCAGGGACCGACCCTACTCGCAGCGTTCTAGACTCCTTCCGAATCGCTATCGCCAATACTGTGGCCGATGGGCTCGAACCTCTGACGGTCGAGCAGGTTTACCAGGGCGTCGACTACGGGAAGAAGGGGGAGGACTTCACCGTGGCGCTCCCTCGATTCCGTCTTCCGGGGAAGATTGACGAGCTCGCCAAGAAGGTCATTGATAAGGTATGTCTTTGTCTTAGTTGAATTCAAGATCTCTGGCCCTACTTTGGTCTCCGGGACCGATTGCTCGTGTGCCTCCAGAGTAGGGTTAGGGTTTGGCGCGTTCTGTCATAGGGTATGGCCCTCCGGGCAGTCCTGGCCACAGTGAAAACCTCAGTTCCATTGAGAATTTACTACTATATCGCAAAGTAGGCAGTAGTGAGGTTACTACTGCCCGCATCGGTCGGGCTGGCGCTCACCCTCAACGCGCCATGTATAAGTTTCTCAATGGGGTTTTTGCGGGCTGTGGTCGGGCTTCGCCCTCCCTTCAGCCCGCTCTTCCTGACTAGCTGAGGAGTGCCAGCGGTCGCCTGAGACTCACTACACTCGTGCACCTGAAGCGCGAAACTACGCGAGCTGGCACCCCTCCACGGAAGATACTGCCCTACAGACCCGGCCACTTCACGTGGCCAGGAATACCCAGGCGTTTTCCGCCAAAGCTTCCCAAGTGAACCACGCTAACTTGGATGTGGTAGTTCCAACCTAACGAGTGGATTGAGTCCGTTACACACGACAAGGCCTTTCTCCACTTCAAGTGCCGAACATCGACGCTCACTCGCCTCATCCTCGACCAAATCCACGCCCTCACCTATGACACCGAGTCCAAACAGCCAGAATATGGCTCTAACAGCCTCGGGGAGGGAAAACGGGTAGTCATCGAGTACTCTTCCCCCAACATCGCCAAGTCCTTCCACGTCGGCCACCTCCGAAGTACGATCATCGGCGCGTTCCTCGCCAACTTATACCGCGCATGCGGATGGGAGGTCATCTCGCTAAACTACCTCGGCGACTGGGGGACCCAGGTGCTGCTCCACGTGTACCTATACTTCCTGGACTATAGGTTGACTGTGTTGCTCCGCAGTTCGGTCTGATCGCGTCTGGCTTCGAAAAGTACGGCTCGAAAGAGGCTCTGGAGAAGAACGCGATCCAGCACCTGCTCGAGATCTACGTCAAGGTCAACGCCGACGCCGAGAAGGATCCCAAGGTGCGCGAAGACGCCGCGGCGTGGTTCAAGCGCATGGAGGACGGCGACGAGGAGGCACTTCGGAATTGGCGGGAATGGCGAGAGCTGTCGATCCGCAAGTATGAGGAGGAGTACGCGCGGCTGAACGTGCGCTTCGACGAGTACACAGGCGAGAGCAAGGTGTCGCCGAAGACGATGGCCTCGGCGCTCGAAAAGCTCCAGGAGATGGGCCTGATTGAGGAGGACAACGGTGCGCTTCGGGTCAACTTGGAGGAATACAAGCTTGGCAAGGCTGTGGTCAGGAAGCGAGGTATGTCTGTCTCTAGTTGCTATTGTATTCCTCATCGTGCAGACAAGCTCACTGAATGCGAGATGGCACCTCGATCTACCTCACGCGTGACATCGGCGCCGCGATCGAGCGGTACGAGAAGTACAAGTTCGACAAGATGATCTACGTCGTCGCCGCTCAGCAGGACCTGCACCTCGCGCAGTTCTTCAAGGTCCTCCAGCTTATGGGCTACGACTGGGCCAACAACCTGGAACACGTCAACTACGGCCTCGTGCTCGGCATGAGCACGCGCAAGGGCACGGTCGTCTTCCTCGACCAGATCATCCGCGAGGCGGCGTCGGTCATGCACGAGCAGATGCGCAAGAACGAGGATAAGTACAACGCCATCGAGGACCCTGAGAACGTGGCAACTGAGATTGGTATCACCGGTGTCAAGATCCAGGACATGGCCGCTAAGCGGTACGTTTCTTCCTCCAACTTCCGAATCAAGCCAGTTCATGTGCTTATGTTTCCCGCGCCCATAGAATCAACAACTACAATTTCAACTGGGATCGTATGCTCTCCTTCGAGGGCGACACCGGCCCGTACCTCCAATACGCTCACGTCCGGCTGTCCTCCATCGAGCGCAAGAACCCCGAGCTCCTGCCCCTCCCGGCGCCCTCCCAGCTCAAGACCGAGCTCCTCGTCGAACCGCAGGCTCGCGAGATTACCTTCCTCCTCGGCTCCTACCCCGACGTCGTCAAGACGGCGCTCAAGACGCACGAGCCCAGCGGCATCGTGACGTTCGCCTTCCGCCTAAGTCACGCCATCTCGAGCGCGTGGGAGACAGTCATCGTCAAGGGAGAGGAGGACAAGGAAAAGGCCAAGGCGCGCATGGCGCTGTACCTCTCTGCGCGGGACGTCCTCGGGGCGGCATTGCGCTTGCTCAGTATCAGGCCCCTTCAGCGGATGTAGACGGGTTGTTTCTTGGCCCAGAGCTTTTGGAACGCAATTGCGAGCGTACAGATGTAACAGTGCAATGCATTTTTGTTCCCAGTCGGAGTCAGAGTCTGGAGTGATGTGCCACAAAGCTCTATTCTTTCGTTCTTCGAAGAATAATCAAAGTAGGCGCAAGCTTTCTCATGCTAAATCACTCAGTTCAATTCTGACGCTCCATACTGCAGGATTCGCTGTGGCGACGTTTGCATCCCTGTGACCAGTAGGATGAGGTCCTGGATCGGTGACTAATCGGGCAGGAGGCATACGATCGATCAGCCGAATAGGTATCAGCTTCGCTTCTTCGGAGGCGAATAGCAGCGCGCAAACGACTTAACCTCAACTCTGGCACGAATCAACATGTCGGCGAATCCCGCGCTAGCTGCCGTTATGTGTCCCCGTGGGACGGCGCCCTGCTTTACAACTTTCCTCCCCTTAGGGACAGAAAGGAACACAAGACTCGTTTCAGCCCCACTATCCCAAGTTCACATCCCATGGCCCATTTGAAGTTTGGCTCGCGCTAACCCTGCGCTCAGCTTGTAAGGCCCCCGGCTGCCGCTAGGGTCATTAACCCAAGTGTGCGCGGCGTGGATTGAGGATTCTACTTCGCACGCTTTGACATGGGACCCACAAACTACCATCTTGATCCCTGTTCTTGGACTGAATATTGGCGGTAGTAAGCGGTGTCAGCGTTGAGCGCGAGCTATTCCGGGTGCTAGCCTGGCCTGTTCGTCTTGGCGGGTCAATTACATACACACCAAGGATAGCGACTTTAGGGGACGTCGGCGCACCGCTGCAATATCGTTGTATCCTTGCGTAGGCTGGACGTTTCGACCGGCAGGACTACTCCCGATCCGAAGCCAGCGGGCAAGAAGCGGCGGCACGTCCACACGCCCCATCGCCACCATTCCTGTGTTGTTGCGATTTGTTTGTATTGGGTACATCCTGAATGCGGACATTATGAATGGACGGGCCCTTGCTGCTACGTGGTTATGCTGAGGTTGCTTAGCAGAGGGCGCGCGACGCCTGACTAGCTCGCTTGCCATGTCTCTGCGATCCTTCTCCCCGTCATCGTATCGTATCAGTCTCTCGGTGATGATGTTTGTTGACGGTTGGACTCACCTTGTCCCGCCTCAACCTGCAGACCACAGCCTCAAGGGGAATGACCTGCCCCTTGCGCGGTCTGCGTTCGGCCGAGTCGCCCCTGACATTCGCGTATGCCCTGGCGTCGAGGAGCCCGAACTTCAGCAGATGTTTGTCAGAAAGTTGCTCGAACACGACGCTTGCATCGTAGCTGGAGCTTATGAAGCAAGTAGGCGCAGGATCGAGGGGGCCAGTTACGCATCGATGTGCCGCTCCGCTTCCCCTCCAAAGCCGTAGCGTTGAGAATATAGAGGTCTTGCTGAAAGCGCTGGAAGCGCAGTGTTAGCTGTAGTTTGTGAAGAGTACCCAGACTTAGCCAAGTCCACAGATGGCTTACGTTTCTGGTGTAATGGCACTATTACATTGAGCCAGTCGGTTATGCTGCATGCCGTCCTTGCCAGTTGCCCAGACCTATTCACACACCTCCGCGAATTGAACACGATATGATCTACCGTGAGTTGGCCTTGGTCTATTTGTCTTTCGTTTCAAGCTAGCTGTCATGGGCCAATAATAGCATTGCTGGTGCAAGTTCTTCGCGTTTGCAAGAGCGATCTGAAAGCAATTACGCCATTGCCGTTCCTGCAGCACCAAAGGGCCGCTTGGCCACTAGGTCTATTGCTCAGCTTTCGCGCGTTGCGCCGAACGTTATTTGCGTTCACCCGCAGCTAGCTCACATAGATGAGACAATGCCAGTACTAGTCCGCACGGTGGTGAAGCTGGAGCTGGAGCGTGCAAGTTGCCATCTGCGGTGTTCCATTGGTCAAGAGCGCGGCATTGGCCGAGACGCTGTAGCGACGCCCTGCACCATTTCGGTGAGGCTAGCAACGTTCCCTCCCGCCCCTGACGACCCTTGTTCTCCTTTGCTTATAGCCAACGCCCTACTTTGCATTTGTGCTGCATAATACCTCGCCTGGACGCTTGAAGCACTCGACAGCACACACGGCACCTTTCGTGATCCCATCTAACGCGCTCACTTGTATTCGATGCGGGAATACTACCGGATACACGGTAAGCTGCAAATAATGTGATAAGTGAGGAGAGTCATTGTCCCGATAGCGAAGGCGGGGAGGTATGCGTGCGAGGAGGGGTGGGGTATCGGACGCGTGAGGGAGGGTGGGTGTGGCGGATGTCACAATGTAGCGGAGGGGGGAGGGGTAATTCGAGAGGTCGTATGCGGCGGAGAATGCGATGAGGTGCGTGGGTGATGCGTGGAAAATAACATGCGACAGAGAGAAGCGGAGATGAGCGATGAAGGGCGGTAAGTGTTACACTGCGACAGAGGGGAAAAGCTGCTAAAGGTACAGGGCGTGTTGAACAACAGTAGGTGACAGACAAAGGCAGAACGTTGGAATGTACACGGCGCCGCTCACAATTTCGGAACGCGCGCATAAGAGACCCAGAGGAGACGGGGATGTCGCGGGAGAGAAGGAAGGGAGGCTTGCGAGGGTGGCGTGGCATGCGATGAGGACATGGATGAAGGGTGGGGGAACATTGGGTGAGTGGGATGTAATAATTTTACAGTGTCCAGAGAGCAGTCTGAGCAGTGGCGTCGACCCACGCCCGCGCGAGCCGACAACGTCATTACCAGTTCATGTGTTCGTGCGGCGCGAACATCCCCATCCCCTGGAACGCGTCCTGCGGCGCCGAGGCGGATGGTGTCGTTGCCGCTGCGTCGTCATATGGGTCGTGCTCTTCGGGTGCGAGGTAGCCTTCCTGCCGCGCAGCGTTGTACTCCTCGGCGCACGTGGGCTCGCCGTCGGCGAACGCCACGAGGCCCCAGTCGCCGCATGCGTTGGGGTCGACCGCGTTCGCTTGGTGCATCGCTTCGAACTGCGAAATGCCGAGTTCGACCGGCGGGATGGAGCCGAGCTGGAAGTCCTCCGGCATCAGGCCCTCCATGTTCGCCCAGAGGGTCTCCCCAGGCCAGAACCCGAACGGCATCTCGCTGACGTCGTTGTCGGCGTCGACGTTCTCCGGGATGTCCTTATGGTGGACTTGCAAGGACATCATCCGGAGCGCGTCTGCGGGCGTGAAGGGACCGCCGTGCGAGGACGTAGGCGAGAGGTTTGACGCGAAGGAATCAACTGGGGAAACGAGGCTCGACGCGATGGTGTCAGACGGCGACATGTGGGACATCGCGCCGGGGTCGTGCGGCGGAATGCTGAGCGCGTGGAGAAGAGGGCCACCCATCATCCCGGCACCCTGAGGACCCTGGTACATGTTCTGGTAAACGTCGTTGGGCTGCTAGAACGCACGACGCATCAGCGACAGGTCTTGGCGACGAAACGTAAAGAAGATGCAAGCCTACCTGGAGGTTGCTCCCGTCGAAGGCGGAAGACGCCTGATATGATGGCATGAAGAGGTGGTTGTCGTTAGGTGCGTAATCGAATGTCGTCAGAGGTGCGGACTCCGTAGGCGGCGGAATGTTTGGCATGGGTGCTGGAGACCGCCCGCTGATTCTCGGAACGAGGGTTGGCGAGGTGGGGCACGAAGGCATCCAGACTGACGGAAGCTGGATCGCCTGGAATGCGGGCGGTGGCGTTGGCGCGGATGCAGCGCGACGTCCGTGGCCATGGCCGTGCGCGGGGAGGTAGTCGCGCGGGAGACTGCGCGAGGTCGGGGACGACGAGACGGGGAGGAGGAAGGAGAAGCTCTCCGCGTCGGTGTCCTCGCCGCCGTTGCGATTCTTCCCCTTCTTCGACTTCTTGTCCTTGGTGCGCTGGGGGCGGTAGACGTAGTTGGGGTACATCGCTTCGTGCTCCTTCTTCTTCTCCTTCGCCAGATCCTCCCAGTACTGCCTCTCCTCGGGCGGGAGGCTCTTCCACTGCTGGGAGATCGTCTTCGAGAGGTCCGCCTGGCGCTGCTTCTTGACCGGACCGGACGCACCGTCGTCGTCCTCCTGAGCGGCCTGGCGCTCCTCGCATTTCTTTCGTCTGAAGAGAATGAACGCGTTCTCTGGCCGCTTGATGTAGTCGTCATCGCCCTTCTTGGGCCGCCGCTCCCCGATGTCGCTCACAGTCGATCTACGTCTGCGATGCGATGAGGCCTGCGAGGAGGGCGGGGCCGTGGGTGAAGAAAGAACAGAAATAGAAGAGTCCGATCCGATCGAGGATGTCGGCGAGAAAGGTCGTAGAGGTGGTGGCGTCGAAGGAATGGATTTGAGGGTCGGCTCGAAGGGCGAACTGGACGGCGAGTTGGGGAAGCGAGTGTCGTGGATAGGGAAGGTAAATGCGCGCGGCGTCGGGGAAATGATGGAAACGGTCGGGGGAGGTGGGGCGTCCGTCGACACTTCGAGGGCTGCGGGTGCGCGCGATGGTGCGGCGAGTGGGGCGCGAGGTGAGCACGGTGCGGCGGGCAGTGCGCGAGTGCGCGAGGACGGAGAGGACTTACTGCGCGCAGAGGCGTCGCGAGTGCGGTAAGCAGGCATGATTGTTTCTCGTTAGCAGAAGGGAAAAGGAAGAGGGCTGTTTGGTAAACGCAGGCAAGCTTCCTCGAGGCAGAATAATAGGGCGCTCCTGTTGGATGCAGGAGGGATGATGGGAGGTGGCACAGAGGCCCCGAGGAGAACAATTGCGTACGGGACGAGCGAGGACGAAGACAATACGAGGAGATCTTTATAGGTTAGGAAGGTGCGACCGACCGCCGAGCGTTGCAGTCGCCCGCGCAGGAGGGGGAGATCGTATCCAGATCGCCTTCATTGTGTTCCCGCATTCAGAGCCGTGAACGGACCTAAACCCGAATCAGCGTACGGTGAAGCAGCTCTCCATTCTGTCACCAAACAGCCATCAACAGCGCATTCTCAGCCATCTGGTTCGGCGTAAGGTCTTATTGTTTTGTGCAACTTCCACGGTTCCTGTAGCCGATTCCGTGGCACCTATCAGTGCTTATTGTCCTCCGCTGACCTTCGCATATGAGTGCATATGCCGTTATCTGCACGCCCGATGGAAAACTCGATGAAGTCCCGTGCAAACCCCGTTCGCGCGCGCGCGTGCTCCTTCTCGCCCCAGTCGCACACTGTCGCCCACGCACACGCCGAGTCACGTCGGCCAGAGTAGGCTGGAGAAGGGACAGAAAGCGCCCCGAAAACGCTGGGGGCGAGCGAAGGCCGTTCCCCCGTCGTCTGTGCTATCAGCGATAGGTCCGAGGCTGGCAGGACCTTCCGTTGTAGGAAATGTCAACGACGGCGCGTGGCCTTGACAGCCTCAGACTCGTGTCGTGCCGGGCTGCGCGCGTGCTGGACATGACATTGCGCTCTCTGGTACCGACCGCCTCGTGTGCGCCGGATTCGTAAATTCGCTGTAAGCGGACGGACACAGGCGGGGGACGGGGGCTCTGATTGACTCATAGCACGGCCAGGGAAGACGTCGGATTAGATTGCCAGATGCGCTGACTGCGTGGGGTTGGATTTGCAGGCGTGGACGCACCGCCCATTTCGGTTTTTGCCCGGGGAGGATGAGGATGCGGTACTTTTGGACAGCGCGGACGTCCGCCCCGATATGGACACCGGGGCCCCGGACGGCGTCTCGCTCCGGGAGCGCCAGAAGTTGCCAGATATGGCAGGTAGCCGTTGAGAGACCGGAGAGTGCGCTCGGGTTGTGGCCTTGTCTCGATCGTGTTACAGATCGACGTCGCGACGCGCCCTTCTGCCTACAAGACTCCCCGCCTGCCCTATCTGGTTCCGCGACACTGCGCCCATGCCCGCCCCTATTTCCTGTTTCACTCACCGGGCTCGGACCCGCCTGCCTTTCTTTCTCCCCCCTGCCAACGACCGCTCTCGCCAAACACCACAAGACCAGCGTGACCGCACGCTCGGAACAGCGGGCCTGAGCGGGCATCCAGCTTGACACCCCTTTACTTCTATCCCCGACATCTGAGCGCCGTAAGGCGTACCATGCGGAACTGAGCGCAGTGCGCAAGGCCAAAGCGGCCGCTCCGCTGCACACGCATTTCCAGATCCCGGATCAGCAGCGGAGCGAGTGTGCAGGTTTGGGCGCCTACACATCACGCGCGGAGGCATCTGCGAACTCGCAAAGGATCCGATTCAGATGATAGCAGCGCGCGCTAAGCCAACTGTGGCCAGCGCGATCGGCATGTATGTAGCAGACAATCGCAGGCAATCAGACAGACGGCCTCCTCCGCGCACGTACGCACTCGCCCTGCAGGCTCATCAATGCACGCGCGCAATATCTGGGCGGAGTGCGGGAGTGCGGGTGCGGGCTGCCTAGCGAGGCCTGCGCGACGGATATGGCAGCATTGAACATGCCGAATGGAGACTGTTCAAGCATCGCACGTCCTCCCCCTGTTCGGATCGTCCGCGCCGTCTTTAGTTGGGTTGACAGCCTTCAAGGGCAAGGGCCAGGGAACCCGGATCTCCTCCATGTCTATCGCCTAACGTTTATCTACCTCCGCGCTGGTTCTAAAGGGCGCGAGGCAGAGGCGACTGCGGGATAACGTGTGATGCATATGGAGAGAGTGAGCACCGGCCCACGGATGCGATAGATATCTGCGTAGGCGATTAGCGGGATGAACGAACCCGTGGCTAAGGGATACCAAAAGACAGCATGAACTCTTCCTCCGCCGTGTCAGTGTCAATGTCAGTCCACCTTCCCTGCGCGAGAGCTTGTCGTCATATTATTCTGTCAAGCGCGCCCCACGGGCACCTCGGGATATCCCTTCAGCTGACAGATTTTTTCTCCTCCGAGCCCGACACGCCACCCCGCAGCAAGGGAAAGACAAACATCTGACTGTACATGTTCCCCGTAGCGTCGGGCTGTGTGCGCACGCGAGATATCTCGCGAAATGACCGACATCGTGGGCCTTCGGCAGCCCCTGGCTTCTCATTCCCGCCCGGCAAGGTCCACAAGCGTCAGCAACGTATCATAGGGCGCAGGGTTCTGCGGCAGGATTTTCGGGATGAGGACGACGCGACGGCTCGAGCTCGGATGGAAAACAGACATGGACGTCTTCGGACCTCGGAGCAGGCGATGGGCTATCTGCTTCCGTTCCGCTTCCAGTAGCATCATCTGCCTAGCAACTGATTGCACGGCAGAGCTCGGTGGCCTGCGGTACAGTCCGCGCCGGCCACGTTGCCCCTCCACATCGAAGACTTGCGTCCTGATTCTTGACAGTCGCCCGCGCCGCGCAGGCTAGCGGGGGGCGATTTCTGGCGCCACAGGAGCACGCAAGATGCCCGGGGTGGTATGGGCAGGGTGCGCCCAACCCCGCTATCTAATTTCCCGTATCGCATCGCGTCGGCGGAGGGCCACATGACGACGGGCCGTCCGTCGAGGTGGCGGGTAACATGTGGGCGCGGTGGCATGGACGTCCGCTCGTCTCTCTCTGGCCCGCCGAGAACTGAAGCCGGTTAGCTCGTCTCTCGGACGTGCAGTTGGTGATGATGGGTATGATAACCCGGATGCGTATACAGTTGACTCGTCGGCGACCCGTGCGCGGCCCGCAAATCGATCTGCACACAAAAACTGGCGTAAAGCGAAAGACAGTGATGTTTTGGCTATATCACAGGGGCGGTCCACGTACCTGCGCTGCGCCGTGCTGTCCCGGCTCGCCTTGAGGCCTCGCGTCAGGCAATGGTATGATCGGCGCGCGATCACCCGACGGAACAATGTATGAGATGAGCTCATAGCCTCCCTGCGTGGGCTGGTGAAGCGACCGTACACGAGGAGGTTACGAATGAGCGAACGTGCCGCATACGCTAAGTACCAGAATTGCTTCCGCGGCAGAGGCGTGCCCATCACGAGAATGCAAGTGGGAAGAATCATATGCATCGTCCATGATCGTAATCGCCGATTATCGTCCGGCCGTTGCCCCGCCAACTTCCCACCATACGTTCTGCTGCATGTACACAACACCTAACCGCCTGAGTCGTCACGAAGCGGGAGAAGGAGTGAAGGCCGCCACGCGAGACCAGGTTGCGAGTGCTCGCGAGGGTTAGTAAGAGACGTCATCCGGTGCCGAACCTGTCACTACAGTCCTGGGAAGCGTTCACGCAGCCAGGGCTCCGTTCAGGGTCACGCTGCAAGTAAGTACTGCATCTGAGCCGGAAAGGGAAGGTAGAGCTATCAGCCATCTTGGAAGGCACCACCCGGCTGTCACTGGATCGGCGCGGGCGAGTGAAACATTAACGTGCAAAGTTCGGGTACTGAGCCTGTCCGACGTCCGAGGCAGCTCTCTATTGCACTGAAGAGGGCTCTGGCTGGCATCAGAGCGAACCCTCCCGATCGAGGTATAGCCCGCCGCCCAGGGTGATTTTTTGTGCGCTGGACGTGACGAATCAGGTGTAGTGTCTGTCCGCGGAGACTGCCAGTTCATCTCCTGAAGGGGCCACACGGACGCGCCATGGGTGGTGCATGCGAGAGGATTGTATGAGGGGGAGCGAGCGTGCACCGCGGGACACGATTGCGCGTAGATACCTGATACGGTCAGATACCAGCCTTGTTTCCTGCGGGAAGCCACCGTGCGATCGATCACGTAACGGAGAGAGGATGACGATGCGCCTGTGCGGTGGTGACTGGCCTTCGCGCCCGGGCCAGAAGTGCGAGCTGTGATAGAAGGCAAACCGAGGAGCGCGTGGAGGTGCATATACTTACTCACGAGCCTCGGAAAGGTTCGTTGCACGGGTCTTGAGAAGCCCGCGAACGGTTCTATTTCCAAGCTGATGTGTTGTGCGGGCCGCAAAGCAGGAGTTGGAGGCCATGCGGAAGAACTTGAGGAGATGATGGGACGAGTGAATGCGCAGTTGGACTTGCGCGCAGGACGAGTTTGCGAACGATGTTGACGTCGTGGGGCGGTCGAGACCGGCAATCATTCGAGTCCGTGGGCGCTCGCCTTCCCAGTCAGGCAGGAGAGCCCAAATCCGACAGAGGCGGGGTGCGGAAGCAAACTGCCACGTGCTGCACCAGAACTGTTGCCTCCGCATTCGTGTGCAGACGCTAACTCTTCCTGACACTACGTCCACCTCGCTTCACCAAGGGGGTGTGGAAGCAGGTCTAGATTGCTCTCAGTTCTGGCGATACGTAGCCGGTGTCTATTTGGTCAGCATCTAGTGCCCTCAATCTGCTCTCTGACACCGGCAAGATGCCCCCGAAGTTGAAGCGTCCACGCTCTATCACACCGACGATCCCGCAGCGTGGAGATGCCACAACCGCAGAACCCCCGTCTCCTCAGACACCGAGTCACAGAGCCAAAAAGCTAAAACTTCTAGCCTCGCATGCTATCTCGTCCCCATTTCCGGACTTCCCCCACCCAACGCCCGCGGAAGCCGAACAGGTCCACGCCCTCCTCGCCACGACTCATCCTGACATCGCTTCCTCCTCCGCGCGACGCTCGAAACCCTCCGATGATAGCAGCAGCAACTCCGCGCGGACGTGCGGCAAAGTCTCTAGCGTGCTAGACTCGCTGATCGGCACTATCCTCAGCCAGAACACGTCTTCCCGGAACTCGACGGCTGCGAAGCACGGTCTGGATGCTGCGTTCGGGCGGCACAACTTCCAGGCGATCGCGGAGGCTAGTAAAGACCAGGTGGTAGAGGCGATCAAGACAGGCGGCCTGGCGAACAAGAAGGCTGCGGTAATCCAGAAGATTCTGAGAGAGGTTTACGACAGGCACGGCGAGTACTCCTTGCAGCATCTTGCTCGTGTCGTTCAGTCAGACGTCGACGTAAATAGCAAGGCGAAAGCGGAAGGGAGCTCGCAGGGTCGGGCTGCGGTATCAGACGAAGAAGCAATGCAGGAATTGGTGTCGTACGACGGCGTTGGCCCCAAGACCGCCTCGTGCGTCCTACTCTTTTGCCTCGGACGCTCCTCCTTCCCTGTCGACACGCACGTCTTCCGGCTATCCCGCCTCTTGGGCTGGGTCCCTGCGCGAGCCGACCGGGTGACGGCACAGGCACACCTCGATCTCAAAGTCCCGGACCACCTCAAGTACGGCTTACACGTACTGATGGTCGGGCATGGCCGCAGGTGCAAGGGGTGCAAGAGCACGAGTAGCGGCAAGGGCGAGTGCGTGCTTAAGCGATGGGTCCAGGAACAGAAGGGCGCGAAGGAGGAGGAGATGGAGGAGACGATCGTGAAGGCGGAGGAGGCGGCGGCCGAGGTGGCAGTCGACCATTCGACGGATGTTAAGAGCGAAGTTTCGTAAGTCTGCCTCGTTTCTGGGTATTCCTGTCAGGTGCTCGGGTACTCTACATTCCCCGTAATAGCTATTGGGACTTCGATCAAAGTGTAGCATACTCTTCTTGGACACTCTCCCCCACGTTCGTGTTTCGCGACTTCTAACGTACACTTGTGCGATTCGTCGATCCTACCATGAGTTCATATTTCACGCGAACAGCGCGCTGCGGTGACTGCAGGCGGGACGTGTCTAATGAGACGCCACGATCACGTGCATCACTTGACTCCCTGGCGAGGAGTTTCAGGCCTGCGTGACATTATGATTCGGTAAATTCTTGTCTTCGCGGTAGAACAAGGCTTCCGTACCGCATCTGATTCCTACCCTCACAAACGTACTGAGTTGTCAAGCAGCCCCCCGAGAACAAACCCATCACGACTATATCGTACAAAGTTGCCAATTTGGGGACAAGCGCGCCTTCCCCAGCTGCAGCTTTCCCACCGCCCACGTCCTGCAGCAGCTCGCTCCAGACGATGGCGCTGGCGACAGAAGGAGAGCCCATGCCGCAGCTGATATAGCTGATAATGCAGAAGAACGTCTTCAAGATACGGCTCCTGCCGTTCTGAGCCCCTAGGACCGTGCCCCAGGGGCCGTGCTCGCCTTCCACAGCACGCACTCTGGCAATGCTGCAGCCTCGTGCCGTAGCCGCCTTTTCATCCTCTCGCTCCGCTTCCCCTCGCACCCTCGCTACGCCCGTCTCTGATCCCTCGTCTCCCGCTAGCAGCTCATCTCTGTAGCCCACACGCTTACGAAACGGCACACGCCCTGCAAAGTCGGGCGAGCGATCACGTCCTCGACCAATCACAGTAATCAAATTCGGCAGCCCCAAAGGTCCCGGAGCGGAAGCCAGAAGGCGGCTGGTGGCTCAGAACGCGAAGCCCCCCTGAAGCCCGGAGAAGACGATGGCCCCAACAGCGTCAAGGGACCGGTCAGACTACGTACATGAAGGCTGGCCGCCCAACGCCGTGAACCCGCACCGCTGCGTCGACTTCAGACGGTCGTGGGTGCCATCGCCGGAGATGTCCCCCGCGGCACCCATTGACGTTTCCCTTCCCGGAATCGAAGAGCGCGAGAACGAGCACGAGCTCCTCCACCACGGCGTTGGCAGTCCATTAGGCTCCCGACGGCCTAGAACGCGGGGCTCACGGACGCATGGAGGCGAGGAGAACCCGAAGCGGTCTGTCAGTGCCAGTACTAGCAGTACGGCTATTAGCACGGGCAAGCGGCCGCTGCGGCCGACGTCCACTGCTGCGTTTTCTAATACGCATACCGGAGATGACACGCCTTTCACACGGGCGCACCAGCCCACTGCACGTTCTGGAGCCCGACCACGGCCGCTAGCGCGAGAACAGGAACGCGAGCAGGGCAGGGTGCCCCGAGGCGGGGCGTCCTGCGAGCGCCGCAAGTCGTGGCTTTCCGTGCTCAGCCCGAAGAAGCTTTTCAGTGCGTACCCCGCCCCATTTGAAGCTTACTCGCTCTTGCGGCGTTCACGCTGCCTCTGTCTTGTGCTTTAACCTTTCATTTTGCGTGGGCCCAGCACGTTGACGTAATTTACTGCTCTCTAGGGAAACGCCGCAGTGTGGCTGAAGCCAGCGATGACTTTGGCTCCCACCCGCAGGATGCGGAGAACTGGGAGCCCGAGGGCGCACGGATACGCAGGGTATCCTCTGCGGAGTGGAGGGCGTATGGGATGTGGGCGCGCCCCAAGCTCGGCAAGCGATATGGGGACATAATCGTTCGAAACGCGAGTGCGTGTTGAGTTTTTGACCACTCCATCCGATCGCGCGATCGCGCAACTGACAGCCGAACCGCGACACACAGCTCCTCTCAATCCGCCGCGCGAGCTGAGCCCGCCTCAGACAGATGCGATGTTTGCGAGTCTGTGGGAGGACGGCCGACCCCATCCGGAAAGATGGATCCCGCGCGTCGAACACTGGTCGCTACCGCCGCGGCCAAGTCTGTGGCCTACCCCCAGACAACGATACGATCCGCTCCCACAGGAGCTACAGCTGAACCCGTTCCTTGAGCACCGCCTGGTGGGGCGTCCACTTATTCACTTCGATCTGCGCATGCGCGCCGAAGACATCACGCTGGGCGAGCGCCCTCCACCTCCAAGCGTCAATCCTTACACCAGCGCCAGATCGGGCGCTGACAATGGTCACAATAGCCTCAGCGTTGTTGTCTCTGCAAATCCGACGTCAGAGTCGTCTAACAGAGATGAGAACGATCGGAGACGCATAATTCCCTTCTGGTGTGACGGACCCAACGGGGCACAACCTGCAACGTACCCCGGAGTGCCTCGCTTACGCATCACGGGACTCGCTGGCGACCCCCAGCACGAGTTCCCGTGGCCAGTGACAGTCATGCCGCACCACGAGGCACTGCCGGTGTTGGTGTGCGACGTGGTGAACGCGCTCATTGCGAATTTCGAGGAGCGCATGACAGTCGAGGAGATCGAAGCGCTCTCGGAAGGGCGCAAGATCATGCTCTACCAGGCGTACTGGCGCCGCATACGATTCTCCGTGGGCGGCACGATGCCTCCGGACGACGACGGGCTGAGGAGGGTGGATTACTTGGGCGATGCAGTGTACTTCAGAGGGCTGGAGCCACATCCGCGAGGCGACGGGTTCATGCTGTTCATGGGACCGCCGCCATAGCCTTCCGACAGCATCCCTACGCTGAGTAGAGGACACGATGAACGGAGTAATGAGGGGAGGAGGATAGGGAATATGGTTGCATTTTTCGCGCTTCGCTTGAGACGACGGTGCAGGCGCGCTTCGTACGCGCCGCTGTATCCCAGACAAGCTATGCGTTTGTATAGTTGGTTGCCGGTCTTCGCTGTCAAGTTTCGGTTTCGGTTGAAGCATCTATCTGCTGTGTCCCTTTAGTCTTTCCTGTTCTGTAGCTGCACGTAATTACATGCTTTCTCGCACCTAGATCAGTAATTGCCCTCTGCGGGACGCTTTGGAAAACCCGAGTCCGAGGATAAGGGCGATGGTGGCGCTAGCAAGTTACATTGTCAGTCAACTGAGTCGATGCCCTAGGTCTAGATGCACCTTACCCACCTCCCTGACTCGACTCCACATCCGACATCCGAAGACGGAGAATTCATGTACCAAGTGGGCATGGAAGACGCTCCGAAAAGGAAAGGGATGTCACTCAAACTCTGTCTGCAAATCGGGAACAAAGGGCAACGTACGGGGACCGCCGTGGGGTGAGTGCTGCACACGAGACTGGTATAAGATTTGGATGGCTCGAGGGAGCGGGCTCAATATTCGTGTGTCGACACCGACGGGTTAGAGTTACGGCAGCTGTTCTAGGCTTCTAGGAGAAGCTGGGAAGACGAGATATCGCTCCCGGATCACCAGCATTTCAGGGGTTGGACTTTGCAAACCTCGAGACCTTCTCGAGTGCGTCCGTCTTGTGCCATATACATAGCATTACTGCTGCGCTGCGGGACGCCTTTCGGTCGTACCACGTCTTCGGATTCAGCTGTCATACGCATGGTCACCGTACCGCAACACGCTGCGTCCGTATACGTACCATCGAGCACATGTTCTGTTCCGCATTGGCCGAACAAATGCCCACCGAGCATATTCGCCACCAATGGCATAAGTGCATAGCCTAGTCTCGAGATCCCGCCGGGGAGGCTTCTGAGAAAGACATTTCTTACCCAAGGGAGCGCTCCATCACATGACGGCACGGGGTCCGGTCCGATGCCCGAATTCCCGAATTCAGAGCGCCTCGTTGCACCCGCCGTCGGAGTAGAATGGATCGCAGTTACGACGGCTGAGTGGCGGCGGATAAGGAAGGTGCCATCGCAAGTCCGATGTCATCCTGCATGCATGCTGAGAACGTGGTCCCCGAGAAGTTGTGGGGAGGGCACGTCACGTAACTGCCTACGCTCGTGTCTGCGCACGTATGTACTGTCGCTCAGCATGTTCGCGAGCAGCGCCCTGTTTCGTGGGGAACGGACGTAACGGAGCGCAAAGCGTCAGGATACCGGGCGTTCTGCAGCTGCCGCCGGACCACGACCCACAGACACAACGCTAGAGATTCGTACGGGATATCTGAGACCAGCGACGCGGATCGAACGGATTTCTCCAGGTTGTCCCGCCCACGGCAGCGAGGGAAAGGTCGAGCGAGCCGCCGTAACGCCAAACGCACACAGCAACCTCTCCATAATGATGCGTGTTCAGAAGTACTGGGCGTTACACCCATACCCCACCACCGCGGTCATCCACACCAGACCGGTATAGGGTCGAATAATGAGGATACGCCCACGGGGCGATGCTGTCTCAACTCCAAAGGAGCACTCGCGGGGAAAATCGCATCGCATAATCCCACTCCTTTGGTCAAGGAGACTGTATCATACTCATGTGATATGAACTTTTCAGACCGTAGCATGCACTCACCGTAAGAGACCTCGGGCAAAGCGGTGCTCCACACCGTCATGTGCAGCGACACTGCCCGCCCTGGTGGAGGAGAACAAGTAGTTGGCAGTGGGCTTGTGATAGACCGGTCCGAAGAGCCTGACAGGAAGCTGGTGTCACTCGAAATCGTCCTGGGTTATGTCGGTGGATGTGCGAGATCCCCGGTTGTGGCGTGGGGCGGGCACAGATCTGACGGGGAGCGAGCGCAGCCGGAGCAAGATCCTTGCAGGCGTGGCCATCGAGCAACAGCCGAAACTATGTATCCTAGCCTTGAGGCACAGAAGCGTGAGGAGGCCAAGTTCCACGATTTGAGCGTATGTACCTGTGCTATGACGACGCCGCTTCCGGAATAGCTCCTTTGCTTCCTTAGCTGCATGTTGTAAATCACTGCGGATCCATGCGCGGAAGTATATGGCGCAAAATCTTTTCTGCACGATCAATGAGGAGTTGCAAAAGGTTACATACGGCAGTAGGAACAACGGACCGAAGTCTTCAAGTGAAGCCAAGCAGTGTAGTCGAGATATGGGATGAGGGCACGAGAGCGAGATTACGTTCTGACCGCGAATTCTCTGATACTGAGAGGCTCCGGACATCAACGATGCGGACGTTTGATAGCAAAGAACTTTGGCTTTAGCTGTCACGGTACAGAGTATTAGCAGGATGACCAGCAAGCGCAGAACACAGCGCTCGGTGACCGTCATGGGGCGAGGGGCGAGCTCGGAATACGGAGCCGGAGCGGGGCGTCGGGACGCGGAGTAAGTCCTGGCTCCGCTCGCGCTAACGGCGTCAAGCGTCCTCCGCGGCCACGTTGACTGTCCAGACGTTGCTCATTCTTCCCTTTCTGTCTGTCCCTTCGCCTCGAAGCCCCTGTCGATGAAATTCTGGCAGAAAACCAGGCCGTTTTGTCTCGATTGAACGGATATGTTCGCCGAAGCCGGGCCCGGGGCGGGAGTCTGTCGGGCAACCGCCTCCCGGTCCCCGCATCGATATCCTGAGTTCGGGCTGTGCGCAGGAGCAGTCGCCAAGGTATGTGCTCTCTCCGCTCCGGAAAATTCGCCCTCCGGGCGATAGGAGACCGATATGATCTACAGGGGCAAACGCCGTTGGGTCATAGGAAGGCAAATGGGACAACGCGTCCTTTCATATGCGGCCAAGGGTCCCTGCAAGTGATCAGGCATAAGGCCAAATGTGATATGTGCATATGGATGCGGATGCCTGGTTCATATAACTGGGTTCTGATGTGTGCCAATCCGGCTTGCGTGCTTCTTACGCACGCTTCTTGTTCCGTCTCCAGCTCGTCACTACCACTGACTCGGCAGCGTGTCTGTCGATAGCCTTTCTCGGTACTTGGTTCCTATTAAGAGCCGGCTCGTGCCCACCATCACGTCTAATACTCGAGGAACTTCACGGAAGTCGACGCCACGCACGCTGCGCTTGCCAGCTGGGAATCGCCACCGGCGCGAAGGTAGGCAGCAGTTGCCTAGAAGAGAATAAAGGCAGTGAATATTTGGGTTCGACGCTCTAGGGCCGACTGATCCCTTGTTGAGATCCCTCTTACGTTGCTTTCGTCCTCGTCCTCACTCTGCTCTCTACCGCTTCAGCCTCTGCATACACAGATCACGCCTCGTTTGATGCCGCCACCGTTTGACCACGAAATGGAGTTCGACGACGACGGTGCGTATCCTTGCCTAATATGGACATCACGCGTCGCGTACTGACTCGCGCCGCAGACGGCATGCCGCCCCTGGTGGACAATCCCCTCCCGCCGATGACTTTTACCTTCGCCGCGGATCTACCACCCATCTCGTACAACCATGAATTCGCTATGTCCGAGTATGCACCTGAGGGTCTTGCGCCTGACATGAATGTGTACTCGCCTCAAGACACGACCATGCCCGACCTGCCTCGTGGCTCACACGCCAAGAAGCGCGACGCATCCTACATCCCGCGTCCTCCCAACGCCTTTATTCTCTTCCGCTCCTCCTTCATCAAGGGCGGCCACATTCCCGGCGAAATCGAGGGCAATCACAGTGCGCTCTCCAAGATCATCGGTAGGTTCAGTCGCGCTTGCTCTCGCCGTGCGGAAACCGCGTGTCTAACGCGTTTCTCGTCTCCAGGCAAGTGCTGGAAGGCTCTCCCGCGCCAGGAGCGCAAGGTGTGGGAACAGAAGGCGATCGTCGCTCTCGCTGAGCACCGCCAGAAGTACCCCGACTGGAGGTTCAAACCTGCGGCGAATGCGCTAGCGAAGGTGAAGGATGGACCACGGAAGAGAGGGAATCGGAAAGGTCGAGGGCAGTCGGAGAAAGAAGAACGCAGTCGCGAGAAGAGGTGCGCCAAGATTGCCGATTTACTCGTTGCGGGGAAGACTGGGTCAGACCTCGCGGCTGCAGTCGAGCAGTACGACTGCGAGACGAGCAGGGGCCGCAGGCCCAAGGACGAGGGCCCCACGGAAGGCGTGGCTCTGTCGATGATGCAGAGCCAGGGCGAGATACGCGACATCCACTCCGCAGATGCAGACGTCAAGGTCCGCTCCGTGGTGGGATCCGACATGCCCCATACCCCGACCCTTACCATCGCGACGGATGGCTTGGATGTGAAGCCGCTGGCTACACGCTCCGCCGTGGATGGGCGGTTCAAGGTACCTCTCACCGCGATGTTCAAACGTTCCTCGTCCGCGCCTGCCCCCCGCGCTCGCACTCCGACTGGCGGACCTCGTGCCCTTCTGAGCCACCGCCGTGACTCGTTCAGTGCAGGCCCGCCTCTCTTTACACGCGCGGCGAGTTTCGACGGCAGTGGGGTCCCCCCCGAGGAAATTTTGGCCATCCAACCTGACAGTGGCGCAGAACGCGAGGGCACAGGGCACGCTTCCGCAGACAGCGTGTCTTCCATCCAGACGTTCAGTTCCGATGTCAATGACGTGAGTACATCATGATCGCGCATTGCTTCCTGCGCTCGCTTACAAGTTGTGGCGCGGCTCTTTTTCGATTTTGCGTTCGGACGCAGGCCGGTTTGGACGCCTTCGGGTTCGCTGCGAGCAACCTCTCGAGCCCCCACCTCCCCGCGTTTGAGCGCGACGCCGAAGGGTTCAACAGCCCGTTACAGTCTCCCATCGCGACTCCCGTAATGTTTAGCTGGGGTCACGAATCCGATATCGGCACTCCGACCAGCATCTCGGACATGATGGGCGAGGCGTACGCGCCCGCGCCTTCTCCCTCGTCGTATTCCTCTCTGGAGGGCTGGGCTGGGAGCCCCCTGCCAAAATTGGCGTCGCCGATCAGCTCTCCCCTCACGAAGGTTTACCATTACGTGGACGGCACCGATTCTCCCAGCGTCATGAAGAAGGCCTTTGACGCCGCGGCGTGCGCCGCTTACGACTTCAGCAACGAGTCTTTCGGACACGGTGACGGATTTGGCGCGGTCGGCCCCGCACACACGGCGCACTATACTTGGGGCTCAGATGCACCATTCATCACCTACGCCTTCCCGGTCGTCCAGTGTCGCCAGGACGACTTCTAATTGTGTCGGGATCAGGACCGCCCTCGTGCTCCCCAATGCACGCCCCGGTAGGTTCGGTCGAATGCACTGTATTGATTCCGATTCATCCTAGCATCTCTCTCTCGAACGCACCTATTCCACGTTGTGCATGCGCATGCACGTCCTTATGTTGTCCTCTATGCCTACCGCCCTCCGTCATTCGCATTTCCTCAATCCTGACTGGGTGATTCAACTCCCTAGTCTGTCTTCTTAGCTGTGATTTCTTCATTCTGCCTCAATATACGCTTCCCTTCCTTGTCCCTGTTGTACGATATTTTGTACCCGAGGACGAACCATTCTCGGTGATAGGCCTGGTGATCCATGCTGTCATCGCTTCGTAGTCCTCCAGCGGTCTCGTGTCTTGTGGCGTCTCCCTATTTTCCATGTATTCCCTTCCTCATGCATCCTTACGTATGCCCTGTATGTCTCTCCCCTAGATCGACGATGTGGAAATCTTCTCAATATGGCCCTTGTAGGTATGTCTCATCCTTGTAGATCATGTTGTACTCATCCTGAGCTCCACTCAGATGAGAACTAGCTTTGCAGCAACGAATATCTGTATGCCTTACGTATCGAGCACGGCGAAGATTGTCATGAAATTTACTATGCGAAGAGCGCCTGACGTCAACAGACTTCTGGTATCCTTCTTCAGTTCCATGCAATGCCGGACGCCCTCGAGCGGTATGTTTCCTTCGCCTCCCATGCCTGTCTTCCGGTGTTCTATCGCCCCCACGAGTGGGCTGCTGATGCCTTCATGGGGATATCTTATCTTCCCACGTGGGCTATCAGATGATCAATATCGGCGTTTGCTGCCTGCCTCTCGCCATGAACAGCAATATTCATGTCGAAATCGTCCGGCGTCCTGGCCAAGTCCTCAATGAAACACGCAGTAGCCTCGAGGCAGCCAGAGCTAAGCGGATATCGAGGAACGAGTGGCGCGAGTCGACACGGTGAGTATCAACTAAGTCTCCGCCGACTCCGTGCACCGACAGCTCATGCTCCTCATATCGCGCCGGCAGCGACCCCTGCGCGGTTTTTTTCACAACCTAGTCCGCTCAAACGGACAAGACTAGCCGCCGTGCGCCACTGCCCTGCGGCCGATGGCGTCGTGAAGACGGACCTATGCTCGCGGCGGCGTCGTAGCACATGTTTAGTGCTGCTTCTCTCGTTCTCAGCGCCTTCTATGATTTCAGGGGACGCCTGACGGGCGTCTGGTTTTGCTTCCGCGCTCAAAGTTCTCTGCCTGCCCAGAGTTTCTGCAGAATATCGCCTTATTTACGCAAGTGAGCGCCGAGAACTCAGTTCGACCCCTGGTCCGTATCATCAGCCTCGAGCTACCAAACTTTCGGGGCAGAGCGCTGAGGCTGTTCGGGATGTTGTCGGCGATGCCGGCGCTGGCCTCAGCCGAGGCGCTCTCACAGCTCCCGGCCCGTGCGGGATCTTATGCAGAACATTGCGCAGGGCAAAGCTATTGGAATATCCGAGGACCGGAAATCTCAATATTCGCAACAGAACAAGGTCAGTGCAAAATGACAGCTTGACGTTAGCCCGAGAGCAGAATTACACAACGTGGATGGAAGCGCAGCTAGCGTGGCTCGACCCGCCTCCACAGCGAGGATATTGAACTTCACTGCGAGTGGTGCCGGTACAAATTCGGCTTCCATTCTCGCGAAGAGCGCGCGCTAAGGGCACATGTCTTGACAAAGACAGGTACGGCTTCCACGATCTTGTGAGTGAGTTGTAAGCGCGACTAATCTTGATCACCGCTCTTGTGTGCAGTGCCCAGGCTTACGTCGAGGAGCCTATCGATGACGATCCGAGAACACCCTGTACGACAGCAGGCGCCCCTCGCATATCCATTCAGAGGTCTCGAGCGCATTAGATTCACATGGAAGCAAGCTGTACGGGAGGACCTATAGCGCTTAGGTATGTCGTTCGCTATGTCTTGTGTCTTAGTCTATCATGGTCTGATGTCACGAGCGGATCCAATGCTACCAGTCTTGAGAGTTTGGCTCGGGTATCCGGAGAACGAATGATCTCCGCGGCGGGCTTAACGAGGCTGTTCGCTGCGATGCCATCGTAAGGTTTGCATTTACACAAGAACTCGCCGGAGACGGAGCCCCTTATATCATCCTGAACTCAGGCCGAGGATTGCCTCTTTCATGAAAAGCCTCCGTTATCTCACGGAGTTGCATGTGACTGCTCGCACGCGCCGTCTTTCGCAGAAATCGTGGATGGAGCTTACGTTCCGCGTCCCACAGCATCCCGCTTTCTTCTCGCGGCGCTCAAGCAGCTTAGCAGTTTGGAGGGCTGTGAACGCAGGGATGTGAGTTCGTGTTCCATTCGCAGAGGATGAGCGTCCTTAATTCCAACCGGGATTAGTTCGTTTCTCTCATCGGTCGGGATAACGGGATGCGGCAAAATTCACCGAAGACTTTTTGAACAAATTGCGCTAGGAAACGTGCCAGTGCGCGCCGCCGTCTATCTAATCCACGCTCATTTCGTGCATGGACTCATCAAGCCATGCGAAAACCCTGCTATATGAGCAGGATCTAACGCTCCCCGATCTCCCCCAGCGTCGTATCTGAGGGTCGAATCGTATTCTCGGTATGTCAGTCGACCTCATCTCCATGGGACACTCATCCGAAATCGAGACCAATGTCTGGAACAAGTCTCCCACACCAGTCGAGACCGCGGAGGTCATAGGCTTCGCGGGACTTCAGGCCCCACTTTACTCTATCAGCCGACGCAGGAGATCTGAAATCTCGTCTGGACTCTTATTGTCTTCGCTGGATTTGGAGTAGCGGCATACCGCCCCTTCGGAACGTGATCCCGAGTGGATGAGCTCCTCTCTCGAGGCCACCTAAGGCTTCCAGATCCCCCTGGTGAGCCTTCCCTCTGTTGTGTTTCGTTGCTATGGCAGTTGAGATGCGTCTGCAAGGGCCGACTAGCTTGATATTGCGATTTCGATCGCATGGTGTTTGTCATGAGTCGACCTAGCGTTATCGTGTGGAGGCGTTAGCAAGGTCAATGCGATCGGTTGACATGACACTGCTCATGAAACCGAACGGCTTTATCGATGGCCTCGGCAATACTTCCAGATGTCCTGGGTGGCTTAGAAGGAGCCTTGAGGGCTCAATCCATTTTTTCCAGCTCGGATGCGGTAACGTAACGACACGACGGCATGCAAGAGCGCAGATGTCATCGACATATCGCAAGCTTGGGCCCTTACCCGGCCTCGTGCTTGGGAAATGCTTCACGCTATCTTCAAAGTGCGGGGTACATGTCGCCGAGGGATCCGCCCGAGCTGTAACAGGTCCTCTCTCGGTCACACTGACTCGAGGTCTTCGTCTGCATTAGGCAAGCCGCTTACCGCATTGTAGCCTATACAAACTTGTGCCGCACTACGAATACGACATTGACATGCCAAGAGGTCCGACGTGCGCGCAGGACCTCATTTGCGTGGACAACGGGGATTCATAATCGGTTGTTCTTCCGGACGAAGTACGTGTTGGCTTGGCCGCTCATCATGTGGTATCTATCAAATGCGAACGTCCCGGCTTCTTTCTTACATACTAATTCCCTCGGCACCCAGGTTTGGCTATGAGGCTCGGTACCGGCTGCACCTATGCAAGAAAAATGCACTGCGGCGTGTGTGCGTTATGCTGCTTTGGGAGAACCAAAGCTCGGCAAGAAAGCTTCAGAGCTTGGGGTTAATTATGGACTAGGTTCGTCCCTGCCAGCAGTTCGATTGATGTGAAGCTTCTGATGCGAGTTGTATTGCTATAAGCATGTACACAAGCTCGACATTGTTCGAAGAGAGTTCCCGATGAGCTCGGTGACTCCAGAACTCGTCAGACCTCAGGGCCGAACCTTGATGTGCGGGGCGGAACTTTGCTAGGCAAGCCGGTAGCAGACTGTCAGAGAACCCGATAGCGTAAGTGTAAGTTAACGGTCCGTGTACCTAGATTTCTCCTGAGTGCATAACACCGGTGCTTCTGACCTTACACGCCATTATGCATGCTCGTGCTTCTTGCCAATTTGCCACGACAGGAAGCTAGCGCCAGGGTACCCTCAACGCTAGCTCATCGCACATCTACGGTCGTACCGCGCGTACGTTGCCCTTATTTAGATTGGGGACGATCGAAAAGAACACGGGTACGGACCGGGGAAATCAGTTACCCACCCGTACCCTTTCTGCAATGTATGACCTGCGGTCGAGTCATTGTGCGCCGTTTTGGTCCATGAATGAACTTGTGGGAAGGAAGAAAGCCCCGCAGAGCGCCTCGAACATAACATACTCTTCACTTATCATTTTACAGAACTGCGACGAGAGCTCTGGCTCCTATCGGTGAGTTCTAGGTCTTGCGATATCCTGACATGAACCCGTAGCTTAGCTTCTGCTGACGCCCGCATTCGGCAGATGAAGTAAGTCACTGCAGGGGGTTCATCCTTCGGGAATGATGCAAAGTCAGCCGCACGGTGTACGACATGCGCCCTCATTTCTAGTCGCGATCCTTGGCGGCGTGCTTCAAGTTGCACATGTTGAATGACGTTCTAGTCCTTGGACGTCTGAACACAATAACATCAATTGGTCCGGGGACCTCATGTTGTGTCAGGTATTTCCATGTTCTGTGCCGTCCTCTTGTGAGCTGATCAAGGTGTTCACTTTCATTTCAGCGGCGGAAGGTTGGCGCAGTGATCGTATCCATTGGCCGTCCGGCATGATCGTACCAGCCGACTAAACCTTCCTGTCTTCGCATCCGCTCCCTGCTTCATCCCCCTCCTCTCACATTGTACCTGTTATGCTATCTTACCCGTGTATACGCTCCCACTTTGTGGAACGTGGAAGAAGTTGTTATAACATCTTTCCCGGATGTTATGGGCACCAATCGCTGCATTCATGTCAGGTGTGACGAGGAGCTTAACAGCTATAATGCAGTTGCTGAGGCCATGCATATCGGACGGTGCGGTTTCCGTCTTTGCTTCTATAGCTTATCCATCTCGGCTGATAGTTAGTTTCCTCAAAATACAGATGGCATCGTATCATGGTCGTTCTTACGACTCGACGTAATGGACGCTCTATGGTGAGCCCTGAGGTGAGGTCCTAAGGGCGCAGGACCGAGGATAGTGTCGACTCAGCCGTCAAGCCCATTCAACATTCGCGTGCGAGGTGTTTGCTGAGACGAACTTAGTCGGACTGACGACGCCCGGGGATCTAGTAGGTGCTCTGATCCCTTCTCTACGCTCTTCCCGACCAGCCCCACCGGGCCCTTTGTCTTCTTTGGATTGAGAAGTACAAGCAACATGTGTAAAGTTACGGTCGCCGGGAGCTACCTTGCCCAGGGTGGTAGCGGATGATCGTCGGGTTCAACTATGTGACTGAGATGCTTTGCGAACCTATTGTCGATTTTGGGAGCCACGTACCGCTGGAGGTGGGACCGAGTTGGGACACTCTCAACGTTCCGGCTACTGTGCGTTTGCCTTCACAGTATATGACGATTACGTAAGCGAGTTCCCCGCCCTCCACGTCGCACTTTCTCAGCCTCGGTTTCTGACAAAGGCTCTGCAGAGCCTCCACGCATTCCCCCACCACTGCTCTCCCTCGTTCTTCCATCTTCATCTTGGTCCTACTTTTCTGGCGGCATCATGAGGTTTGGGACTTTCATCGCAGCGGTGCTATCTATTGGCACCGCGCTGGCATCCAATGTGCTTGAACTCACCCCGGACAACTTCGACGAGGTGATTGGCAAGGGCAAACCCGCACTGGTTGAATTGTGAGTAAAATGCACAGCCAATACTGCTCAGATGTCTAAAGAAGTTCGATCAGCTTCGCGCCATGGTGTGGCCACTGCAAGGTGCGTTCACCTGCCTGCTGCACCACCTCCGAGAACTTTGCGCTCAAGCTTTGCTCCTTAGAACCTTGCACCCACATATGAACAGCTTGCGGATGCGTTCGCGCATCAGAAGGGCAAGGTTATCATTGCCAAGGTCGACGCGGATGGTGTCGGACGACCACTCGGCCAGAAGTACGGCGTGACTGGCTTCCCCAGTGCGTAACTGCTGTCGGTGCAACTATGCACTAGCATATTCATGGCATATCTGCTCCCCTCTACAGCCCTGAAATGGTTCAACGCTGACGGCACCGACGAGAGCTATGACGGAGGACGTGAACTTGAGACTTTGGCCGACTTGTAAGTTGCTGCTTCGCTTTCGTACTGCTGGCTTCGTTCTTCTCCCTTTGCCCCGCGCCTCATTTATTGGTCTCGCGCAACCAATTTCGCCCGAAAGAGACCATCACACATAGAATTCCCTTGCAAGCATCGAACTTGTGTACCTGCTTAAGATGTGACGTTGCTTGCTTGGCAGTTCTCTACCTTTTCTTCGGCTCTCGACGAGCGTCCTTGTTCACTTTCTCTCCGTACTTTCGCTGCTCGGGCGTGATGCATGACCTATTTGGTTAAGGTCGCTGAATCTCAGAGATGAGACCTAACTCCATCTGAAACATATGCTCCTCGCGACGACTTGCGGTCCGTACGGAACAGCTGCTAACGTCAGTTTCAAGCGTCTCCACAAAGTCCGGCGTGAAATCGAACATCAGGCCGCCTGCCCCTCCGGCGTACCAGATCCTAGATATACACTCCTTTGACGAGGTTGCTCTGGTATGTGTTCTCCGTTCGCTCGTGCCAACACCCTACGCCTTGCGCCACATACTCAAACATGTATCGTTGCATACAGAACCCGGAGAAGGCCGCTATTGTCGCGTTCACCGCTCCTTGGTGCGGTCACTGCAAGCGTCTGAAGCCCATCTACGAGGAAGTCGCTAAGGACTTCTCCAACGAGCCTCACGTGAGTGCAGTCTCCGCATCCATCAGGTGATAATGTGCCGATTCATGACCCATAGTGTCTTGTCATCAACGTCGACGCCGACGCGCAAAGCAACAAGCCCCTCGCTCAGAAGTACGGTGTCAAGAGCTACCCTACGATCAAGTTCTTCCCCAAGGGTGCCAAGGACGAGCCCATTGACTACGAGGGCGCTCGTACTGAGGAGGCGTTCGTCGAGTACCTCAACGAGAAGTGTGGTACTCACCGTACTGTCGGCGGTCTTCTGAACGACAAGGCCGGCCGCCTTGAGCAGCTCGACGCCCTCGCGGCAAAGTTCTACGAGGAGTCGGCGTCGGCTCGCCAAGCGCTCCTCAAAGAGGCTAGCGACCTTGCCGCTACCCTCGGTGCCGGAGCGAAACACTACCTCCGCGTGATGGAGAAGGTCGTCAATGGTAGTGAGGAATATCTTCAGAAGGAGTCGACTCGGTAAGTCCTTGGGATGCTCGTTGTACCGCCAACAGACGCTCATGTCTCCGCAACAATAGTCTTGCGTCGATCCTCCAGAAGCGTACGCTCTCCCCAGGCAAGCTCGATGAGATTAAGATCAAGGCTAACATCCTTGGTGCTTTCCGTCCGGCGACGATCGAGGAGGCAACGGCCGAGGATGAGCACTCCCGCGACGAGTTGTAGAGGAAGTAGCCATGACAGTGTTACGTCCCCCTGTCTCGACTAAGTTATGATCAACATTTCCATGCTTTGTTTCATTTCTAGCCCAGAGCGACCGCACTGTAGGGAGTTCAAGTCCATGAGCCATCGTCGAGATACGATGACATCACAGGTGAGCATGAGAGATGGAGTGTGTCTGCGTCACTGCGGGCTACGCTGTCCCCAGTGGAGTGGTCGGACAGGGTTGGCTGTGCGCCACTGGCTCCTTCGTCGCAGTCGGACGCCACTGCTGTTCACAGCGCGCACATAAGGTTGCATCTGGGTCAGCGGCACGGCATGTGTGTTCTCGCAACATCCTTTGCTCAACGATCACTGCTCAACGTTCAACGAAAGAAGACAACTATTATACCGTCCTACTATCTCGCACCGACACCACCTCTGCTGTATTTCAGGGCAAACATGAGCCAACACGACGGGCAAACATTGAAGCAAAGAATCCCAGCACAGACCCAGGACCTCCCTGGGCTGCAAAAGTCGATGACTCCCGAGCCGTTCAGCACGAGTCTCGAGACTCCGGCAGGACCCAGGCCCTATATCGGCTCTGGAAAGTTGAAGGATAGGAAGGCAGTCATAACCGGTGGAGAGTAAGTCGTCTTGCCACGTACCACAACGCCGATGAACACCGATGCTTTCCTTGCAGCTCTGGCGTCGGTCGAGCGGTCGCCATCCTCTTCGCGCGCGAGGGAGCAGATGTGACCATCGTCCATCTTTCGCAAGAGCAGCCTGACGCAGACGAGACCGTTCGTGCGGTGGAGTATGAGGGGCGCAAATGTCTCTCCATCGCGTTCGATCTCGAAGACTTCAAGAACGTGAAGTCAATTATCGACCGGCACGTCGCCGAGTTCGAGCGTGTAGATGTTCTGGTGAACAACGCGAGCCAACAGCGGCTGACGGAGGACTTTGCGGAGATCGACTTGGATTCCGTCGAGCAGGTGTTCAAGACGAACGTCCTGCAGATGTTTGCGCTGACGAAGTTCGCGCTCTCGCACATGCCGAAGGGGTCGAGCATCATCAACACGACGAGCGTGACGACGTTCAGGGGGAGCGCGTCGTTCCCCGACTACGTCGCGACGAAGGGCGCCATTGTCGGATTCACGCGCTCGTTGGCCAAGGATCTAGTGAAGAAGGGGATTGTGAGTACTCGTGTGTTCATATCACCGAGCCACGACTGAGATTTCCTCTCTAGCGCGTCAACGCCGTTGCTCCGGGCCCTGTCCACACTCCGCTCCAGCCCGCATCGCGGCCTCCAGAACAACTGGAAGGCTTCGACGAAAAGTCCCAAATTGGTCGGCCTGGGCAGCCTGCAGAAATTGCACCAAGCTATGTCTTCCTCGCCAGCACCGACTCGGAGCTTTACTACGGTCAAATCCTCCATCCTTATCCACTCGGTGACTGAACAGGAGCTGCTCCAGCCCTGGCGTGCCGTGCTCTCTCTCCCAACGGCACGTCCTGCCGGACTCGGATGACGGTGCTCCGAAGCAGTTGTCAGCGCTGATCTGGTGCGCCGGATTAGCAAGCAATTCCATAGGTTGAGCATGGCTCAGCAGTAGTGTATGGAGTAGATCATATGTAGCATGTACGAACTCCATGGCATATGTCGTTGGTGTCTTATGGGTGGAGGGGTGAGGAGCTGACTTCGTAGACTCGGCGAGATTGCGTTGGTTATGGGGATAGGCAGCGCCCGGGTTAACCGAGGAGGCGCGCGTCAGAGCGCCCGGCCTTCGCTTATGCCTCGGGGCTCGAATTGCATGATAATCTACGGCTTGATTAGACGGCAGGACGGCCAAATGGAATGCTGGTGGCTGAAGGGCGGTCAACGTGTAAAAGAAAGATCTCTCCCCGAAACCTCCCATTATGACCGAGCAGAGTGGTGAAGGGGTATCTTAGACATTGAATGCACAAGTTCTCTCGTGGCGATTTTCAAGTTGGAGCCTAGTTCTCGAGATATTGTAAGAATTGAAAATCTACACGAGAGAATATGTTCTACACGTCATTCCCTACAACTTTTGAGTGAGCATCCCAGGCTCAAAACGCGCTCAGAGCGCAAAAGAATGTGAGCGCCGTGCCCACTGGGAAGGGGGAGAGGATTAAGCGCCTCTCAGCCACCGACCAGAGCGGTAGTGGTCGCTGTGCCTTCATGTCCTACACTGGAGTGAGCCATGCTCATCTCGGCCAAGCGAAACAATTCACAATGCATATAATACTTCTTACACATCTGTACTACGG